CTCTCTCTCTCCCTCTCTCTCTCTCTCTCTCTCTCTCTCTCTCTCTCTCTCTCTCTCTTATTTTGGAGTCCCTAGTATATGTCAGTTCCTGTCCTAAGTGCCTTAGGATGTCATTTCTAATTCTCAAAATAATCCTGTAAAGCTTCATCTCATTTTTGTTTTCAACAGAAAAAATGAAGACTTAGGGAAGGTAAGCATAGGGCCAAGATCACGTAGCAAATACATAGCTGAGCAGAGATTTGAATTCTGGGAGCTGATTCCAAAGCTCACGGTCTTCCCACCATCTTGGGAGTTTCCCAAGATGTGGTTAGGAAACTATCAGAATGCCCTGGAGGTATTCGTTGGAAAGTACACAATTCTGGGCCCCATCTCAGTGCTACCACGTTTGATTCTCTAGAGTGCAGCCCAGGAATCTGAATGTCTGACAAATTTTTCTTGCAACTGTTGCATGTTCGAGTTGGTGAACCGCGGCTATGATCTGCTGCCTTGGTCTCTTGCTAGACTGATCATGATGGCTGTTATCATGACCTCTTTCCAGCTCTACGATTTCTAACCCAGTGCCCGAAAAGCAAACAACTGGTAAAAAGACTGTCCTAGCCACACTCTCGAACTGTGTGTCAGCCTCTAAATCTGGTTATCTTTCCTGTATTATGGGACCAAGCCAGGTTCTTTTCTGTCCTTTCCCATTAACTCGGATACTGGCCACTTTGGGAGAGGCAGTCCAACATGAGGAAATGAAGGACATTATAACACTCAGAACAACCTTTGGGTCCCTGCCAGGCCTCTGTGGCATCAGTTCTTCAATGGAATCGCTGCTTCTAGGATGCATTCTGCCTTCAAGGACAAACTCACAGCCACCTTTTCTAACAAGTCTTCCTTTCTGATGCCAATGGGAAGCGATGCCTCCCTCTCTGAGCTTGTAAACCCTTCCAAGGACTGTGAAACAGCACAGTTGCTAACCACCTTTAACCATCAGGTGCTGTCTAGCTTAATCCTTCCTTGTTTGGAATTACTGTGTTAATTCTGAAAGCTTCTTAAAACAAAACAAAATTAAACAGCTATCTACATGATTGAATTTTTGTCCATCCACACAGACCTGCTTTGCCAACCAGCCACCAGCTTTGGTATAACAAGTTAGATTCTGAAATGCCAAATATGCCAAAAGAATCTACAAAGTGATGTGATTAATTAAAAAAAAGAGGTGAAGCTAGGTCTAGGGCATAGAACCATGCAGATTTTAAAACTAGAAGGGATCTTGGTTATCATTCATTCTAACCTAGTCCTTTGATAACTTAATGAAATGGAAATCTAAGAAGATGAGGTCACACAGCTAATGTATAGTAAAGATAGGACTATAGTAAAGTTTTCTGGTTCCAGAGCCAGTTTTCTTTTCTTTTCTTTTCTTTTCTTTTCTTTTTGGTGATACGCGGGCCTCTCACTGTTGTGGCCTCTCCCGTCGCGGAGCACAGGCTCCGGACGCGCAGGCTCAGCGGCCATGGCTCACGGGCCCAGCGGCTCCGCGGCACGTGGGATCTTCCCGGACCGGGGCACGAACCCGCGTCCCCTGCATCGGCAGGCGGACCCTCAACCTCTGCGCCACCAGGGAAGCCCCCAGTTTTCTTTTTATTGACACAGGCTTGGGATCTTTGTCCTACCTCTCCTCCTACTTCCTTGTCCCTTTCCTCAACACATAATTCTCATAATCTCTCTAAGGAGATCAAGAATGCTTACGTTAATGGTTAACTTACTCTGAGAAAGGTACCCTTAATTCCTCCATGCCCAAACCTTTTCACAAGTATAAGGAGTAAGGATTAGTAATATGGAAATCATACGTCACAGAGCTACCACTGAGTCATTCATTAATTCGACCAATATTTGTTGTGCTTCTACCATGTACCAGGCATAGGGGTAATGCAGTAAAGAAAGTTAGGTGGGGCTTCCCTGGTGGCGCAGTGGTTGAGAATCTGCCTGCCAATGCAGGGGACAGGGGTTCGAGCCCTGGTCTGGGAGGATCCCACATGCCGCGGAGCAACTGGGCCCGTGAGCCACAATTACTGAACCTGCGCGTCTGGAGCCTGTGCTCCGCAACAACAGAGGCCGCGATAGTGAGAGGCCCGCGCACCATGATGAAGAGTGGCCCCCGCTCGCCGCAACTAGAGAAAGCCCTCGCACAGAAACGAAGACCCAACACAGCCAAAAACAGATAATTAATTTAAAAAAAAAAAAAAGAAAGTTAGGTGGAAATGAGCAAAAATTCACCCTGTCAGGGAGCTCGCATTCTAATGGGGAAACACAAACAAAAGAAATTAGTAAAACCCTTATTGGTAACGGTAAGTGCTAAGAAGAAAAGGCAGGGAAAGGGAATAGGAAGTGAGGATGTGTGTGTGGTGGTGGTGTGGTAGGGGGGCTGGATTTTAGACAAGGTGACCAGGGAAGGCCTCGCTTGAGAAGTATAGATCGCAACTGGCGAACACAAATATGAGCTATTACCCAAGAGAATCTCGGTGCCAGTCTCTACAGGGAATGGCAAACAAAGATCAGATGTGGAAAATGTTGGAAAAGATGGAGTATTGATGTTCTTCTACTGTTCTTAATAATCCAGGCAGCAGGAAATGGAAGGAGAGGAATGGCACAACTAAAATGGCAGCAACTGGACTTTCAAGGAGGCCAGGAAGAGATGTGTTAGTGTCTGAGGTGAAAAGAAACGCCTGATGGTTTGGTTTCATATAAAGAACTTGGTTTAGAATACAGAATTTAGAGAATGGAATTAAGATTGAAAAGAGGTATTATTTTGTCTTAAAAAAGAATCTAGAGAGCATGAAGTATGCCAAGACTACTTGGCAAAGTGATACACGACTTAAAACTTGATGAAAATGTTGAAAAATTCAGACATCTGATTCATCCAAATATGTAATTAATTATGAGGATTGTGGCTGAAATTTATATAGAGCTCATGAAAATTTCCACTCTTTTTTTGAGAGCTTACTGCATGCAACACATGGGCAGTGCCTCAGATACTCAAAGAGGAGCAAAACACCATTCTACCTCAGTGAACTTTTCATTGTGGAAATCCATTTTCACTTCCTCCTGGGCGTCCAGCAGGAATACATTTCTCAGCTTCCCTTGCAGTTAAGTGTGGCTTGTGGCAGAGTTCTGGCCAATGGGATTGGAGTGGGCATGATGGATGTCCCTTTTGGTTTGGCCCATAAAATCCTAGGGGATTGAGGAGTCTCAATATGCAAGGAGCTGGGGACCCTAAATCGCCACCTGGAACGCTGTCCGCTGAACATCTGATTAAACTTTATGTGAATAAGATACTTATTATGTCTGTTGTGCCGAAGGACTAAGATTTGAGCCAACTTGTGTTGCCCAACTAATACAATTATTAATTAACATTTGCATAGAATTTTGCAGTTTGCAGAGTGCTTTTGCATATCAAGTGATTCTGGGAACCACCCCAGGAAGTGGGCCAGATTTTAATTTTTTCCCATTTCACAAAAGCTGAAATTGATGCTTACTGAATATTGAATTACTCGGTCATGATCACAGAGATGAGACAGAGAGGGCAAATATTCGAAACTACTGGCTCTCAAATGCACAAAAAATAACTGATATAAGACAAGGATGGAAATAAATCTAATGCAAGGCGTTTGATAAATATAGACAAAATATTAAGGAAATTCAAAAGAGGGAACTATCATACTTGGTTGCAGAAGCCACAAAAGGCTCTAGTGGAATAGGTAAGATTTATGGTGAGCATCTGTAAATTCAAAAGAGAAACGGGAGAAGAATCATGGAGAAATTTCCTGTAAATTTTGACATGCAATACGAGTGGTGAATAGACATAGAAGAGAGTTGGCATTTGTTCTAATGATCCAAGGGAAGTTGGAGCAAGCAATGCAGTTTTTTGAAGGAAAACAGGAACTGGTAATTCAATACAAATCAAAAAAGTATTTACTGAGTGCCTGTCAGATGGAGGGCCTTCCAAAAGTGTACAGAAGATACAGAGAGGAGATAACAAGGGTACAGCCTGTGTTTTAAACGCGTTTATGATCTACTAGGGGAAATAGTCAAAAATGACTTCAACACAATGTTGGATACGGTAAACATCAATAGGAACAGTAACAGGGTTCAAGGGACAGAGAAGTGACACGGCAAAGTGACGCAAGAAGGACAAAGGAAAGATAGGTAAAGCTTCATGCAGGACGCAAAACGTCCAGATTGACCTTGGAGGAGGTGCCATTGCTGAGGATGGTTATAAATACATGCATTCACGAGGGCCACGTAGAGTTCCAAAAGGAAGCGTTTTATCAGTTTGGGGGGCAAGGACACTGCTATATAAAGAATTAAATGATTCCAAAACATGACCATTGTTTAGGGGACAACAAAATGAAATGTATAATTTGGATATGTCTGTTTAAACATGGAATCACAAACTTACAGTGACATCATAGGTATGTAAGTTTCTGTTAACTGCCTGGCTTCCAATGAATTCAGTTAATGACCAGCACTATGGACCAGAAGGTGCTGTGCCTAAGTTTCATTATGCCACCAAGAGGCAATCCATAGGCAGTTGACTGAGATGTCTTGCCAAAGAAGGGCCACTTACCATGAACAGGGTTTCATAATTTTCAATCATTTTCTGCACCACGGCAATGATGGCTGTGCTCTCTTCAGCCCGGGCTGAACTCTGGACCGAGAATTCCTTGTCTGACGACTTCTGCTTGTGCAGCAGGTTGGGTCCAAATATGGTGGCCAAGTTTAGAGATGTCATTTTGTTCCCAGTGACCTATAGAAGCAGAGAACACAAGGACTGTTGTGATTTTTGCTTTTCAAAAGGCCAGGTGGTTCAATAATCAATATAATCTTTTTACTTTCCCTCTTTTTTTTCTGCAAGGACTACATCATCTCTGTCAGAATCCATGGAGAGCATCATTTTCCTTTTGCTTCATATCTTGAATTGAAGCTCATAGCTCAGTGCTCATCTCAACAGCATACTGAGTAAAATTTTATAACTGTTATTTTTGTGAAACTGGTACTATATAAAATTTCTATCCTGTCTGCTCTTTAAAAATATTGATGGCCATCCATCCAACTGACCATCTTATCCGTCCCTCTATCTATCCTTCATCCATCAGTCCATCACCTCTCTATTAATCCATCCACTCGGCACCTACCATAGGCTAGGCATTTTTCACGGATTCTGATTATTCTAAAGTTTTTCCAACAATGATCACAAACCAGTCCTTATTTTAAAGGGTTCACGTTCTAGAGGATAAAGAAGATTATCAATTACAAGCACTGAGTACAAAGTATGAAACTGTCAACTCTGGAGGCCCCAGGGACACTCCAAAGAGGTGGCAATATTTGCACAAAACCTTGAAGGAGAATAGAGTTTGCTGGGCTGAAAAGCAGAGGAACTGGCGCAGCGGGCACCTTCACAGTGGTGAGAACACGATATGCAAAGGCAGAAACATGTAAAATACGCCAAGGCCCTCCAGGAAACTCAGCATGGCAGAAGGTCCTGCAGGAGAGGCCGGCGAGGGCCAGGTGAAAGTCACTGTTACATGTCCCCTGTGGGGCAAAACTACTCCTGGTTGAGAACCACTGGTCTAGGCCAATTTTTATTTCTCTTGCGGAAATTAGTTGAAAATCTACGAATGCCCGGAAAAGCATGGGGACTGTGGCTGCTTGGTGAGGATCCTTTGCCTGGGACGATCTGCACAGCCTTCAAGAGGCAGCTGGATGCACAGCATAAAATTCCTGACTCACAGGTGAGACGAAGCCTCCGGAGTCCCGACCTTGTCCCGTGGAGCCCTGAGCTGGTGGCTACCCAGCCCTGCAAGCCCAGCATGGCACATGGGGTGTGTTATTTTTAGAAGGCGAGGCTGTTTTCAGGTTTGCTGCCGAGTGAAACGATTTCATGTGGTAAACACTGGGAATTTTCAAGAAAGTGCCCTTAATGTACGACTGTTCAATTACGTTTTTTCTTTGTTTCATTTCACTGATACAAAACTTGACAAGTTTTCATGTTATTTTTCATTTCTCTTCCTGGAAATTCATGGCTGAGGATAAAATCAAATATGCACCATTTTCAAATTCATCCCTTTAGAACTCAGAGGCATTTGGAGAGCTTCCCCTTCCCCTCTTAAAGGAATATCAGGGTTTTCTCATTTTTTTAAAAAAACATGATCAAATGGAAGATTTTGTTTTCTTTGAAAAGAATGTTTAGTACAAGGACAAATGCAGAGCTCTGTTTCCGCTCTCCTTCTGTTGCTATTCTGGGAATGCAATACAATCCCTCTGCAAAACTGCACAGAGATTCCAGCTGCAGACCACGCTGCTGTGGTTTGTTAACACCTTTTTGTTTCATTTTGGTTTTATTTTATTGTTTTTTAATCTGGAAAGACGACTTGCTCCCAGATGGCTTCTACCCTTACCCCTCATGTTTCAGCATATCTATCATCTCTCTATCTATCTATCTATCTATCATCTCTCTATCTATCATCTATCTCTACGACTGCCCAAGAGTGCACAACATAATGTGTACTCGGGCTTGGTTCATTATTTAACTGTCAGCCAGTGTTATGTTTCCAAATGTTATCAGGAAAACATTTATCTCTACTAAATAAGCATCCTAGATCATTTCTGATCCGAATATGAAGAGCTCACATTTATTGATATTAAAAGCTTAGCATGTAGGTGGGGGAGGGACAGATTGGGAATTTGAGACTAGCAGATGCAAACTATTATATAGAGAATGGATAAACAACAAAGTCCTACTGTAGAGCACAGGGAACTGTATTTAATATCCTGGGATAAACCATAATGGAAAAGAATATGACACATACATAACTGGGTCACTTTGCTGGACAGCAGAAATTAACACAACATTGTAAATGAGCTACACTTCAATGAAATAAATTTTTTTTTAAAGTTCAGCATGTAGAGTCACTGGGCTAGAGGCTTTCCACAGGCTGTTTCAATTCCCTCTCACTATATGCTTCCAAAGCCGCTGCTGCCGTCGTCCTTATTTTACAGATGAGGGAAGTGGTGCCCAGAGCCGGGCTCCAGGCAGCCCCCCGCCGCTCACTCTTGCTGGCAGAGCTGGCAGAGTGGGGATGTGGGAACACTGGCTCCAAAGCCGGGCTGGGACCAGGGTGAGGGGAGGCACGGGTCCTGCTACAGTTCCAAAGCCAAACTCCCGCTTGTTAGAGGCATGCACCTCAACAAAGGTCAGTAATCCCGGCCTTGTGTCAGTGGTTCATAACTTCTTTTTTGCCTCATAGACTCTTTGAAGAACTGGAGGCCAGCTATGGACTCTCTCTCCAAAAAAAAGTGTACATTCACACCACATATTCCATGCCATGCTGGGGGGTTCTTAGACACCCTGAGAAACCACTGCTCAAGAGGTTTCAATGATGTCCCTGCAATACTCTTTCTAGAGGAAATGAAATCTTTCTTATATCTGGGAATTTCTCTTTTCCCCAAAGGAGCAGAGCAAATAGCAAACTAAAAAAAAAAAAAAAAGGAATAAAACAAACGAAACACAAGATAGCAAAAGCATTCAATAAAATACCACTATTTTCCCCTCCAAAGGCACTCATTGACTAGCCAATAATTTTTCTCAATGTCTTTCTTTTAGACATCTTTAAGTTAGTGATACTTTGAAGTTTAAGCACCTATTAGAAAAGAAATATTACATTCATTTTATAGAGGAGGAATCTCAGACCTTCCCCTACCCCAACTCTGATTTCCTTCCTCTTCCTCTATTTTACAAAAACAAGGTCACATAGCAAGGTGCTGGCAGAGCCTGGGTGAGCCTCCAAGCTCCTTGACACTCGGATTTAGTTTTCTTCCTGTTGCAACCCATAATAACTACCCAACAGATAGGTAACACATCTAGCACAAACTAACAAATAGGTAAGAGAGAAACTTGAAAAATTCTTTGCTTCTTGATTATATTTTACAACTGAATTTTTGTCTCACTCCAATCTGTCCGCTCTGAATTCTTTACCTGCTCATGCCAAACCAACTTAAAAAATCGTGAGCAAAAAACCTCTCTGTCGTTCCTCTCCCTCCCCTTTTCACTTCTACCAGAAGGGGTTTTCAGCTAATTCCCATCCCTATGCCATGCTTATGTGGTCCACTTACTCAATCCCTACACACCCTTTGATATGTAGTTTAAATTCAATCTCCTGCACAAAGCCATTCCTAACTTTTCTGCTCCACGTTCATCACTTCTCTGAAGTTCTGCAGTGACTCTGCGTTGTGTTCTCTAATTCTATATTTGCCTTGTGTTTTTACCCCCTCCACCTCCTAGATGCCACAGCATCCTGGGAATGGTGATTAGAAAATTCCTGAACAATGCTCACTGGTTTAGAGGAACAGAGAGTAGGCGCTCAGAACATACGTGATTCAAATACCAAGGCCATTCCTACACGGAAACATTTATAACGTGAATTGCTGTTTTCCATACTGCTATTCCTACAAAACCTTCCTAAACTCACCCTCTTCCTGTCTCTAAGCAATCTAAAACACGGATTATATCACCTTAGTTGAATCCTTCCGAAGATTCATGGCTTAAAAGAATCAGCCACCTTCCCCTGACAAAGGCATTCGGTACTCTGGGAACATAGTCCAATTTCCCCTCAGACCTCATCAGTACTTTCCCACACTGCAGCCTTAACTCTAGTCCAAGACGGCTGTGTGAGTTCCTTGTTTTCCTGTAACTTCTAACCATTTCATGGAAGCAGTGCTCTCCTCATATTTCCTCTGTTGCTTTAATTTTTGGTTACTAGTCCTTCATTTCCATTCAAGGTTTAGGTCAAGGATGTCTAGAAACCCTTGTCATCTCCTGCTTTCCGTACAACTTTGCTGTTACCAGAATATTTTTATATTCCTTGTAATAAACTAGTTTTCTCAATGACTGTGCAGTGCCAGTTGAAGAACTTTTATCTCCAAAGTTCAGGTCAGGAAACCCAGGTTTAGGAAGATTGGTAGATTTGTCCAAGAACACATGATCAGTGAGTTGTAAAGCTAACAAGTGTTCTCAACCAGGGGTGATTTTGAGCTTCCCCTCCTTCCCGGGGAAACCTGGCAATGTTTAGAGACACTTTCAGCTGTCACAACTGGGGCAGCATCATGGGCCGGGGAGAGCTGCTACTGGCATCAAGTGAGTAGAGGCCAGGGATGCTGCTAAGCATCCCACAATGCACAGGTCACCCACACAGCACGGAATTACCTGTTCCAAAGGGTCAATCGTATGGAGGCCGGGAAACTGTGAGCTAGGCCCCCAGCAGAGTTGTTTTTTCCTACTTGCTATTCTATATTTCTGTTCTCCATAAGTCAGAGTGGTTTGTGTTTTAGGCACAGCTGGGACTTTGCTAGTCAAGGGACTGAACCGACTACTAGTCAATATGACACTTTTGTGTGAATTAGAAAAAGGACCCCTTCCTCAAGATATTTTACTGCCATCTGCTGGGATATTGTCCTAATATCTCTGCAAATCTGCACTGACTATGGGGGACATGGCACCTCGCCCAGAGTCATGAATGCACAAATGCACAACTCGCACAAACGTTAAGTGGAGGCTCCCTGGGGAACGCTGGGTAAGTTACGTAACCCCTCCAGCCCTCAGTTTCCACCTCGGAAACACAGGGACGACGATCTCTCTCTTGCTCAATGGAGGATTAGCTATAATATATGTGTAAAGGCCCAAGCACACGGCCGGCACATGGTAGGAGAGACATAAACGGCAGCTAGTGTTCTGGCATGCTAAGTTCCATTGGTACCTATCCAAGAATATTTTCTCCACTTTGCCATAGGCAATGCAGTCTTGTTCAGCATTTGGACCGAAAGAATGTCTGCAAATGATTTCAAAAAGGCACGAGTGAGTTCAACTGGACATTTTGCTTTTCTCAATGCCTTCTTAATCACCTAAGACCCGACTTTCTTCTCACATAGTACTCAAGAAACGTCAGAGAGGCAACTGACATACCTAGGAACCCAGACAGGGCTCCGTCTTGACCCAATGATTAGGCAGATGATTCTAGAGCTTCTCTTATATCTACAGTCAATAAAGGCTGACACCCAGACGGGTAATATAACTACTTAACGATTATGAGAATTACAGTACATCCTTTGAAGAGCTGTGTCTACTGAAAGAAGGTGGCAGTGCCATATTATGAAACCTGAAGCCAGCAGAGGTCTCACTAATAACTGCTATAGAGATAAATGGATAACTCAGGAAAGTTCCATTCTCACATTGATAGGGAGGGTGAGGATAAGAAAGGGAGAACTGCCTTTCTGAAAAAAAATACATATGACCATGGTGGCCTTTGGGAAAGAAATCTGACAAACACAGAAATGAATCCACAACACAGCTGTGTTCTGCTTAACAGGATTTAAAATAAAAGCTTCTGGGATAAGTAAGCTTGGAATGCCCTTGCCTCCTTCTTGTTGATTTACAATGCATGTCAACATATTAAAGGGTCTGAGATCTCCTGGGGAATCCAAGGTCAGGGAGAAGTATGACTGCATGGTTTCAAGAAGGGAAACAGGTCTCTTGTTAAGGTAAAGATTAAATAGGTTGCTTGCTAACAGGTCACTTAAAACTGTCCAAGGGAGAAACTGGAAACCACCTTGAAGCACAGGAGTATGACCAAAGAGAACCAGAGCCCAAGACCTCAGATGGGGGGCCAGGTCCAACAAGAACATCCCAAAAGGGTCCAGAGGACTGTGCAGAACCTGTCTTTGGCAGTTGGTACCATGTGGCATTGAGATACATGGCAACAGTCAATAGATCTGACTTTTCAGTTCTTTCTCCACCTGGTTTTGAAGCAGGATCCACCCTCCATTGCACTGAGCCAGTCCCTATTTTGGGGGGAGGGTTGAAGGAGAGAAAGCACTTCTAAGATGGAAGATCCTAGACTTCTAGCCATAGGGCACATGGATGCTCCAGAATAAAATGGAAGAATGAAGAGGTGACATCATATTTGGGCTTCAAGTTAAAGAAGCAGATCAAATGAGTTACAAGGACAGCCATCTCCCCCCACCTCCATTACTCCGTTTTTCTCATGCTTGTAAGCGTCTCTGTAGCTCACGTTCCTCTCCCTTACACAAATGGGAATTCAGGGTCTTGAGTAAAGCATCATCATGGAAAATGACAGCCTCATTTGGAAGCATCCTCGAAACATACAAGGATGTTAATGGCCAATGCGCTCTCAGGAACGGTCCCTCCAGAGGGGGGAAAAAAAAGCCTGCATTAGTTCTCTTCCTACATAGACACATAGGCCAGGAAAGGGAAGCTTCATTTTCTCCAGGTGAAACATCTGACCAAATTGGTAGCTCTCCTTTTTTTTTCTTTTTTTTTTTTTAAAAAGTTAAAGTAGAGTTGATTTACAATATTGCGTTAGTTTCAGGTGTATAGCATCGTGATTCAGTATTTTTACAGATTATATCCCATTATAGGTTATTACAAGACAGTGGGTATAATTCCCTGTGCTACACGCTATATCCTTGTTGCTTATCTACTTTATGTATAGTAGTTTGTATCTGTTAATCCCACTACCCTAATTCATCCCTCCCCCCATCCGTCTCCCGTTTGGTAACCAACCGCACGTTTGTTTTCTGTGTCTGTGAGCCTGTTTCTCTTTTGCATAGATACCCATTTGTATTATTTTTTAGCTCTCCCTTTTAAAACAGGAAAAAGGAAGAACCAGAGCATCTGTTGCGGTGGCGGTGGGGTGCGCACCTCTTGCCCGTCTTTGCTGACGTTGTCCTCGGCGTGCCTGGCCACGATGGAGAGGAACTGCAGCAGCCGGTGGAGCGTGTCGCAGTTGCAGGGAGGTAGAAGGTAGATGAGGAGCTGCAAGGTGCCCAGCTGTTCCTCAGGCTCCAACACTAAGCAAGGCAAAGAGAGGCGCTCCAAGTGAGTCAAAGGGGGACGTCATGCCCTTCACGCTCAACTGCCTTCAGAAAGGGATTAGCACGGCAAGTCACATTTCATTCCTTCACCCACTCTCCCACTGCTTTACCAATTTAACAGTAAGGTTCTATGAGGGATAGAAAGATGAATTCGACCTGGGAAAATGTACCATCCAGAGAAATCATTATAATCCAGGTTAGAAAGGTAACTTCATGTCCCTCACTTTCTTCTCCCTCCTTCCCCTGGTATAAATCATCACATACTTTATGGATCACAGTCTTTCATGGTAGTTAACTATTTGCTAACAATGACTGAGAATCTGTGAATGTTCTTAAATTTGAGTTTAGAACACATTTGAGGCCCTTGTCTGTTGAGCAATGTATAGGAGGTAGACTTTTTGTTGGCAATAACCAAGGCACGGCCCAATGTCAGCGTCTTCTCTCTCTTTTGTGATCCTATCTTAACTGCAGCATGGATGAAAAAATTCATGGAGCTTGAAACAGTTCTGGCGGTTCCTCTTCCCTCTTCCCGTCCTTTTCCCCTGTGTGGGATCTGTGTCTCTAGCCCTGAAGCAGCCACATTGAAAGTACTGACACTGGGCTATGCCATCCTGCTTCCCCTGGAATGTTTCCTGCCCCCCCGCTTTCTCACTCTAGGTTCCAGAAATGCAAACTCATTTTTAGGCACAGACTCAATGTGAACTCTCTCTGTTCCTCCAAAGCATCAATTTATAGCAATTTCTACTATCCTAGAGTCGTTTGAAGGCATCCCCAACTTTTCTTGCCTACTTCCATTTGTTTTATTGCAACTTTCAACTTGCTAATTCTCCCCAGGGTAAATCTCAGAAAATTCCCCAAACAGCCCGCTCATTAGAGACTGATAAATAAGGGCAAAAAAAAAAAAAAGCTATTAGAAAACACATGCATAAGGTTTTGATGAATGAGTGGGACACCCCAGTAACCCAGGAACACATTCCTGCAAATGGCTGGATTACGCACAGAGAGTATTGATGAAAGCTGTGTACAGCTCCCTGGTGAGAAGGGGGTCCGGCATGTCCCTCAGGAACTCCTTCAACAAGGCAGCCACGTCATGAACGCTGTGCTCTTCCTCCAGGGACACGTCAACCCCACGGTCAAATTCCTCACGTAACTGGAAAGACAACGGTTCAAGTGGCAGTCTAAGAACACCATACCTCAATGTTCAGCGCCCAGCAAAAGAAGTGCTATGACATGCAGCATCTGGTATTAAGTTTACCCAGACCCCAAGAAGCAGGAGCAAACAACATGTCACCTTGATCTACAAAGTCTATGCAAACCAAGCCATGAATGTATATATATATATATATATATATATATATATATATATCTCACCCATTTCAAGCAACCATAAAGTTCTCACTTTTTTTAGTGATACTCGCACTGGGCACTTTTGCAGCACCTCAAGCACTTTCACCTTTTCTAGCCGCTGTTTACCAGAATAAAAATTAAAGGCAGAAAGAGAAACAATGAGTGAGGACACAGATGGGTAAATAGCCCTCAAACTAAGGAAAGTATGTTACATCAAGGTGACACTGTCATTTATTGGTCAAGAGAATGAAGTAGTAATCATCTAACCATACTATTGGGTGTTACAATAAATATATTTTGGTACTTGCTATGTGTGTGTATGAATGTATATATATATATATATATATATATATATATATATATATGAAATGAATTATTAAATAAAAGTATCTGTGGGTTTACTGTTAATGATGTAAGCAGAAGGGCTTGATAACGACATCCAGAAGGAAGGTTGGGAGGAAGAGCTAAGGGGTTATAGGTCAATTCTAACTGTGGGAGGGAGGAATTAATCTATTATACAGTGGTTTTGCATGTCAGCAAATTTACCATGTTGGAATTTTGACACTTTCTAGAAATACTCGACAAGAAAGCAAAGAGATATTTCTGCAAACAATGAAATTAAAAACCCTGATAGGGGCTTCCCTGGTGGCGCAGTGGTTGAAAGTCCGCCTGCCGAAGCAGGGGACGCGGGTTCGTGCCCCGGTCCGGGAGGATCCCACGTGCCGCGGAGCGGCTGGGCCCGTGAGCCACGGCCGCTGCGCCTGCGCGTCCGGAGCCTGTGCTCCGCAACGGGAGAGGCCACAACGGTGAGAGGCCCGCGAACCGAAAAAGCCAAAAAAACAAAAAAACAAAAACCTGATAAACCATTTGTGACTAAGCCTTGAAAGATGACAATAACGAAATAAAATCTGCCTTAGATTTGCCAGAGTAGCCTTATTAACATTTTCCAAGAAGCTTTCCTGCTTTCATCATTATACTCAGTCCTTTAGCGTTTATAACAGTAGGAAAACACAATAGCAAGAAGGGAGTCATAACTCTACACCCTATTTTCAGCTCGGACAGCTCAACTTCTCTTAGGTATTGTTGGTTCTCTGCTGTTAGAATAATTTTGTGAGTTCATGAAGGTACTCTAGGCAATAAACTTCTGTAAGTGTTCATGTGCTATGTCATTCATTCACCCATTCATTCAGCAAAGATGTACTGCACACTTACTGTGTATCCGGCCTTGTTACAGGTCCTCAAAATACGGTGATGAGTAAAGAGCCAAAGCCCTCCCCCTCCTCCAGCTCTCAGGCTGACAGATAGGTGATAAATTGGTAATCCACCAATGATTAATTAGCTCTTTATACTGTGACAATTGTTCTCAAGAAAAAGTGTAGGATGCTAAGAAGTGATATAACAAGATCAAATGGTGAGTTAGAGCATATTTCACACTTGAAATCTAACCACTAATTCTATGTATATTTTTGAGAATCCTTATGTGAATCTCCATGCAAAGGTTTTCCCTTTAGTGGATCCAGATATAACTGAGGAATAATTTCTGTCACTAGACACCTCGCCACCTGACAAGAATGCCTGTTGCTGTCCCGAATCGCGCATCAATTCCAGGCAACTCATCCTTAGTGTGCATCGGGCAGCCAGAATAAAGAAGGCTTCCATCAGCACCACTCCTAATCATGGTCATCTACACACACCATGTTTTTCTTCTGAGCGCACACGCACACGCACACGCACACGCACACGTACACGCACATGCAGAAAGAACGGATCGTGGGAAGAGCTTGGTCTAAACTGTGTGCTCCTGAATTAAACTTCTTAATCTCTCTAAGCCTCAGAAGAAGTGGGTGAAACGGGCCTGTCTCCCAGCCGGTGGGCGGATTCAACGAGACAACGTTGATGCAAATATTCTGCAATTCCGCACAGGTGAGAGGCCTAAGAAATGTTATTACTATGCTAACTTTCTTCCTGCTAATCCTACCGTGAAATGTTAAATGTTCAATAGTATCTTATGTGACTATCACAAATAAAACCAACCAACCAACCAAACAGAAAACATACTTCTTTTGAAAACCCCTTTTGTCTTGACAAAAAAAGAAAGACATTATGAGGAGACACTTATTTCGGTTAGTTTCAATAATATGAACAAATATCGTTTCTTCAGCTCCATCCAGCTAAAAATTATTTTCATTTGGCTTCATTTTTGAATTGCTGGGTTCCTTACTTCTTTCTGTTGGCACCAACAGAGGGAAAATAACACTTTAATTTTCTTTTAGCCAACAAGTGAATTCTTTTCTCAAAGGATGGTTTGCCTTTTCTGAAGCCGTCATGAACACAGATTCCTGCCTGATCATAGGAACCTATTCCTGAAGCTCTCATATCAAACTTCTTTTGCAAGAATGCTGCAAAGTGCAGAAGGAGACTGAGGGGTACAGTCCCCACATGGAAAATGAATTGGGGAGTCAATGGTACCATGGAAAAGTAATACAAATTATTTATTTTTGAGAAAGTAAAGCTATAAACATAGTATTTTAAAAGAAGAGATATTAATGGCATTACTCATATCGCATTTTAGTAAAAACAGGCGCTGTACAATTGTTTTCTATTTATTATCACTTACTGATCAGGCACTCTCCGAATCTCCTACATTTACAGTGTCAGTAAGATGCTTATAAATTAGTTTCATTTGGCTGTACATGCTGTGGGCACGTCCAGATGTTTTGCTTTCAGTTGTATGATCCTAACTCTTTCACAACCTTTCTGAGATTCTGAGTTGTTGCCTTTTACTTCTTGGGACTCAATTATACTATAATAGGTGGGAGGGTACAGAAAAGATATTCAGAAATGAATTTGCATGAGCTTGAACTTTGCACGACCTAATTCAACTAAAAGTCAGGTGAAACGTACAATATCATCTTCACTTTTCACTTACTTGTCTCACTCTCTTTTTTGAGCTTCCAACTCGGAATATCCCCACTGTCTGGAGGCCTGCAAATAAGCAAACAAAATCATCCGTCCTGTTTTGTGGCTCGAAACTGGAGGAAATCAAAATAGATATAAAAGGGAATGCCAGCACCACGCTGCAACATGCACGGCAGTATAGTAACTTGACAGCGTGCACTAATGCTTATTTATCCCGCACTAGATTCACCAGGTACCTAGAGGTTAGCCCTGAAAGTACCAGGATCATTTTACGTTAAATGTTTCTGATGAAAAAATTTTCTTGCGTTATTATGTATTTCCACACTTTCTCCATATGAAAAAAATAATGGAACATTTTCTTCATCATTCAGAATAAACATGAATTTTCTATGAATTTCCAGCCCTTTATCAATTTTAACAGAGATACTGCTTCTTTTACTGATCATACTTAAAACATGTACTTATTAAAGAAAATCTATAAGGTGCAGAAAAGTGTAAAAAATAATATACTTTAAAAAATACCTGATGCAGAAGTAATGACTTAATATTTTGGTTTATTTCTATCCAGTCTTTTCTCCATGAAAAAAAATATATGGGGGATAGAATGCTGCTGCTTTTACTCAATATTATGCCACAAGAATTTTTTATGCCAGTAAAAATTCTGTGTCAATGTCATTTAAAATGGATGCAAAATACCCTATTGCATGAATGTGCCACAATTCACTTCATATTCTCTGAATGACAATATAGCTCCCCGCAACATATATGCACTTGTTTTGATACCATAACTAGCCCTATTAGGAACAACTTTGTACATAGGTCTCAGTTTACATTTCTGATTCTCTTAAGATCAGGTCCTAGAAGTGGGATTATGGAGCCAATGCGTGAAAAAGAGTTATCCAGCCCCAAATGTCAGTAGTGCCAAGGTTGAGAAACCTTGCTCTAAAAAATTAGGTCTCTTAAAAGAAACATAATCTACCACAAATTAGAAATTTCAACAATAGTTCCTTAATATCATTAAATATCCAGTCAACGTTCACATAAGGTTCACAAACTGTGATAGGCTGGCGAGCCTTGTAGTCTCTTAATGTGTTTGTTTCCCCCTCTCTGTTTATGTGATTTCCTCGTAATTGGTTTGAGGAAGAAATAGCATTGATTTCCCACTGTAGATTTTCCCACTGCCTGGATGTAGACACTCTGTGGTGTCACTTATGTGTTCCTTTCTCCCCTTTATTTCCTCTAAAGAGATAGTTAGAGCCAGGGTTTTCTCTGATTCAGGATTGGATTTGGGGGCAAGAAGACTTCACAAGAAGTATTATGCACTTCCTTAAGGTGGCACAGAGGGTCTGAATGACTCTCCTTTCCTATGCAAGCCATTAGTCACTGCCACTCATGATCATTGTCTACGTTTATCATTTCATTGGTGGCTCATCTTCTCTTCATTTGGGATAATCAGTTACAAGGGTAATGCCAGATTGTAGCTGCCAGGGGTGGCTTGTAGCCACATGAAGAGAGCTGGTGTGAGAGTCCACAGACCATGAAACATAGTCAACACTCCAGCGATCAGACTCATGCTCTCATGGCAACATTTGCATCCTGAATCTACCTGTTCCTGAATCTAGATATAATATTCATACTTGCAGTATGTAAATGGGAATTTGGGGGGCTGCTTTGCTTAATCTGCTTTTATCTGGGTTCTTCTCTCTTGCCACGGAAAGAGTTCCGACTAGTCCAATATATAATGATATTGGAAAGAACTGAAATCTTTACAACATTATTTCTTTCCATCCAGAAACAATGTAGATACCTTAATTTATTTCTTAATTTCTTAATATTTCTTGGTAAAGCTTTGCAGTTTTTGTCACAGAACTTTCTTACTTCTTATTACAGATATTCTAGGTAACTATACGTTTGATATTAATATAAGTGAATTATTTTATTGTTATAGTACATAACCTATTATTGCTCTTATATAAGACATGGATATCTTTTTGTGTATTTATTTTATGGTCTTGCCACATTGTGTATTGTGTATAAGACTTTTAAAATTGGTTTTCTAGAATTTTTCAGTTAGAAACGATAATATCCATAAATACCCCATTTATCACTTTTATATCTTATGAGTGTTATCCTGAATTTCCAGAATAATTTGAGAGAATCATGCTGAGAGGCTAGTTATTGCTGACTTGCATGTACATCTCGGTGCTTTGCACTTGGGTGGAATTTTGCTTTCCATCTATTCTCAAAAGACTTGTGTTCCTTCCTTGTTGCTGCCATCAATTCATCTGCCTTATAACTGAGTCCAACCCCCAGCCGAATCTATTGCTTCTACCTCTCTGGCAGCTTGAAAACAGGATAATCAAGGTATTAGAATCAAATACAGAATTATCTTTCTTCATTTACAAAATGAGCAAAATAAGTATCCACCTCAAAAGTTGTTCAGTGATTCAATTAATTAATGCATATAAAATACTTAGAATTGTATCTGGCATCTACTATTATATAGGGAGATATAGGCCCTAACTGAACTAAATGAGGCTTTTTGTGCAAAACAGAAAACTGTAATATAATAGTAGGTCTTAGCAATTTTAATTTTGGCTGCATTTATTTTCTTGTTGGTCCGACGGTTTCCAGGTGGCTGAAATTTCTACATAAGTGAGATATCACATAAGGGCACTTTCTTCCCAGGTGGGACTATTCCTTTGCCTGGAGTCCTCCATTCTGTTCAGAAATGCCCATTTCTGTGTCACTATTTCCTAAATTATAGTATTTTCCCACTCAGTAAAAGTGACTGTGATTCCAAAAATAACTAGCTAGTGACTGATTGCTATAATTCCTATGTTTCAATTGATTATCACCTGTTTTAAGTTTTTTAAATTAATTAATTAATTAATTTTAGGTTGAGCAGATGACAGCCTTCAGACAGCCAATGCCATTCTCTGACATAAGCCTTAGGGTCATTTTCCTCAAAGAGAAGATACAATCTAGGCATCCAGTAACCTTGACTTGAGACAGTCACTGTTAAAAACAGGTGTCCATGAAAAAAGGCATAGATCTGGCAAAGAAATGTGACTTTGCTGTACCCTGTGCCAGAAATGGATATGATCACCTTTCTCTCCTTTTTGTCAGAAGCTGAAATGGAAACTAGAACCAGGGCACCTGAATCTCAGGCTTAGGGAATTCAAGTAATGAGGGCAGGCATAATAAGGAGGGGGCCCCACCCTAAAATCAGCCTAAATCCTTTAAGTAGAAGAGGGTTTGACTCTTTGTTACATTGTCTGGGGTTTTTTTTTTTTGTCGTTGTTTTTTTTTGAAATGTGTGCTTCGGGGAAATTAAGGATGCTTAAGGAATTTTGGCCTAACAGTGGAGAAAGCATTTGGGTGAAGCAAAAGTGAGGAAGGGTGGTGTACACGAATATATAAGATGGAGTCAAGATAACTGTCCAAGACCAATTGTTTTTGTTTGTTTCTCTCTCTCTCTCTCTCTCTCTCTCTCTCTCTCTCTCTCTCTCTCTCTTTTGTTTTGTTTTTGTGTGTGTGTGTCCAAGACCAATTTGGGAGAGAATGGAAAGGTCTTTGACAAATGTCTATAAAGCTAAAGTGAATCAAACTCTCTGCTACCCATTTCAAACACTGGCAAATGAAGTCTTACAAAAGAATTGTTTTTGAAATTTGCTCTTTTTTCATTGGTTTAAAGTGACCAAGATTAATATCTGTTTGAATTTGAACCTATCTCTTATTTTTCCAGAGCCATTTGGTCTAAACATCATGGAAACTCGGAACAGAATCAGGGCCTTGAAAGATCATGTAGGTTATCTTCTTTCCTTTAGGCCCTAAACTGCATTGTAACTATTTCCCCCACCCCCACCCCCCAAAAAAGTGAACTTCCCTGTTTCTTAGTAATCTTAAAGGATATGCTATTTTACAAATTACAATTCATGAAAATTTATTTTCAAAAAGAAAATACAAAGACATGCCAAGTTTTCTTTCACAAAAGCAGTTACTCAACCTGGCACTGCCTTTTTGCACGGTTAAAGTAGAACTTTCTCGTTTAGAATTCTTTATAGTGCTACAGTTCACTCTCTACATTCTTTATAGGGAAAAATTATAATTAGAAACGTATGAGTCGCTTTTTCTACCTCATAGTAAAGTTTAGGCTGAATTTAAATATTCATGTAAATTCTTTAGGCGCTAAAATCAACTAAAGAACTCTTTAGTTGCTAAGCTATCTTGAAAAATAATTCTGTTCAAGTAATACTGATTGAAACATTTACATTGTGTTATCATGATACGAAGTACTGGGAATTCAAAATGTCTAAGATATTTTTATTGATGTCCAGTTTACTTTCCAAGGAGAAGAGACAGATAAGAATGTACACTCATACACATACATATACATACTGAAATTTTGTATAAACAAAGTTTCAATACATATTACTTATATTAAGTCACCCATATGATATCTAGTGATTTCCATATATAATGAATTGATTAAGAGACCTGGACATATCCTAGTAATTTTTATAAAGCTCCACTTTTATTAGAAAGAAATAGATGAGAATGTCAAGAGTAGTTATGTCTATATGATAGCCTCAGAATTTGCTTTTCTGTTTCTTTTTTTTCCTCTAGTATGATGTGTATATTATTTTTAGAGTAAAAAAGCAATTACAGTGATGTATGTCATTTATTTCTCAATAAAACTGGAAAAAAATAAGCAATTATAAACTCTTCTCATGTCCATAAAAGGCATGCTAACATTACAGCAAACAAATTCAGATCGTAGACATGGCTGTTTGATGAGCCGAAAGTCTAAAGTTCAGCAAAAATTTTAAAGAACTGTAAAGTCAGCGCCTTAAGTGGAACTGAGTTCCCAAAACGGTCACGATGAAGAAATTTTAAGTGGACAGCTTTCCACAAAAATGCAAAGAGCAATATAGAAAGAAACCTATTGTCCGAAACTATGTATTTTCTATTCACTTAAGGAATGGTTTTCTAATCTATTTTTTTTCTGTAAGAAGCTGGACTATTATTTTTTAAAGGAAGCCTTGTGGAACCTCAATGTATAAAAACGATAAAAGTGGCTCTGCTTTGTTTGCAGGGGGTCCTGAGGATAGTCCCAGCCCGACAGACCTTGCCCTCCCCTCAATTCCTTGATCTCCAGGGTCACTTCTGAGGACTCTTTAGGGCTGCGGAGTCTGAATACCATCAGGTTGATTCGCGCCGCCCCAAATCTTGTTTAGCCCTACCGGGGCTAAGCAAACGCTCATATTTGTAAATTTTCTTTGCAAAGGAAATTTCGGCCTAGAGCCTGATCAAATGAACATAGAATTGGAATTGGGTGCTTGAATGAATGATGCCTGAATACATGAAAGTCTTTAGTACTTGACTGCTGACAAACAAGTTTGCGTACCATGTTTTTCTAGATGTTGACAGCAGCTGTCCACCAGCCTGGGGACCTGTCTGTAAATGGGATTCAGACTGAGTTTCTTATCTCGGGCTTTTTCTTTTTTACTTTGAGCTTCGGCAGGCAAGGAGAGTTGTAACGCTTCTAGCAGTCGAGACTGATTGTCGTCAAGATCGGTGATGGAATCCACTGACATTGCACCCTGCAAATTATACACAGACATGAACACAGAGTGCACACGGAGAAAATAAAAACAGCTTCCCCCAATGCCATCCAATAAATCCTTTTGCCCACGACCACTAATCACACTTGAAATAATACTGTTTAATTGTGCGGTTTGTACTTTAAAAGGCAGAAAGGTTAGGAAACCTCCACAGCACAGGGTAAGGTAATGACAGTTACAGTTTCAACAATAGACAACTTCTTCCAAGTGGAAGACAAGAGATGGCAAACATACAATTAAAATCTTTTGACCCAAACACTTCATTCCTTGAAACAAGAAAAAAATCACATACTTGACGAATGAGGTAAGGTCAGAGAACTCTTGTGAAAACAAAATAATAATTCAACTCTCGAAAGTAGATTTTAAAATAGGAGGATTTCATAAACAGTCTTAGTTTAGTTTTCCCCAAGACGTGACACAATGAACTTTATTAGGGGAATAGTCCCAGGAGACAGCTGTAGGGAAGGAGGGAAATGAGAAAGCGAAGTAAAGGCAGCTAATGAAGGGGGCACCACCAAGCCTGTGATGACAAGCCTGTGGGCCGCTGGGGCCCAACTGCCCTGGGGACCTGGGAGACCGTGCAGATCATGCACCTCAGAGCTATTCCTGCTAAGGAGTAAGGGAGCTGGGGGTATTTATACCACGAGTCTCAAGAGTCATTGATTAAGGACAACTTCTGGTAGGGGTAGGGAGGTGACATTAATGCCTTGCTACTTGCAGCCCGTCGTCTCTATGGGTGGGCGCCTCTGGCCATCAGAGAAAGCCCCAGCCAAGAGATGACGTAAGGACAGGTGGAAGGAGGGCTGGCACGCTAGGAATGGTAAAAGGCTGAGGGGAAGGGTGCAGGGCACCGCTCATGCCTGTACGGCCACCGCCCCATCTGACGGAGCAGAGAGGAAGAAGGCGGCTGCTAGCAAGGCCTTGCCGGAGGGGAGGGCATTTGGGAGGCCCGTTGCCTGGGCTCTAGATTCTCACAAAGCTCATACGTGGCATTTTGGTGTCACTGCCACACAGGCTTATATAAACAGTCTGAGAGACTGTGCCAGGATTGGAAGAACAATTCTCTTGTCTGTAAGGTAGAGAAAGTGATGGGGGTCTGAATATGCCAACTCAGCTTTAAACACAGTGAATCCCTGAAAACAGTGGTGGGCGGCTCAGGTGCCCCTGAGTCTTGGAGAGGTTCTAAATGTTGGAGGCTGATTGAGAACTGCGGATTTTAACTGGGAAGTGCCTCAGGTTTTCGGTTTGTTTTTTTTTTGCGGTACGCGGGCCTCTCACTGCTGTGGCCCCTCCCGTTGCGCAGCGCAGGCTCAGCGGCCATGGCTCACGGGCCCAGCCGCTCCGCGGCATGTGGGATCCTCCCGGACCGGGGCTACGAACCCGCGTCCCCTGCATCGGCAGGCGGACTCTCAACCACCGCGCCACCAGGGAAGCCCGTGCCTCAGGTTTTAACTAGGGCAGTAGTCAATGGCTGGAGGTGGCAAAGATTTGGGCCTTCAGGTGATAAGGCAAAGTAGAGATCTCCCAGTGACCTAGGAAGTTTCAGAGATGCTTATCACCTGACTCAGCTAATCACCAACCAATGTGCCTGGAAACTCATCTTTCCTGGATTGAAATTTGAAATGCCAAATAATAGCACAGTGCCTGGAACACAGTACTCACTTAATAAATGGTACCAGTATTGATTTGAAAGAGGACATATGCATGTGTGTGTGTGTGTTTCTACAGTTATGTTTGAGAAAAAAGCCATGTTCCGTTGGTAAAAAACAATCTCATTGCTTATGAAGACCAGCAGCAAGTTCACTTGGCCAGAAATAGTTCTTGGATGAGATGAAGAGATTAACAAACACACCTGGCCCTGCCCTCAAGCCTCAAAGTCTCATGGGAAATTCTGGTAACACAACAGAAGGTTACACTAGAGTAGGATCAGTGGTGATGTTGTAGAATGTTCTGGATATCACGGGTAAGCAAGGAGAGGCACCCTATATCTTTGAAAGGGGTCAGGGAAAGGCTGTGAGGGGTGTGTCAGGTGCCTCGGGGCCGGTGCAAATTCTCCCTGAATGGGGCTGTTGACAGATACCTGGACACAAACTGCATTTCCAGTTTTCACATGAGCCAAGACTCAGAGAATAACCTTAGAACGCTTCCGTTGTCCTGACATCGGGGTCAGAGCAAACACTGGTCAACTCACCCTCCTCCTGGCCCGAGGAGCCGGCTCCGGGGTACTGGGGGACGTTGACTCATTTGGTGTTTCCGAGGTGGAGCTGAGAGATGAGTTACTGCTTGAGAGTTCTTTGTTTTGTCTTTTATTTCCAAATGGGAGGAGGGAAGCCACAAAATCGGAGGCATCCTTCTGCTCGCCCCTCTGCGAGTCCTGCTTGAGTTTATAGGCCCGGTCGTTTGCAATGACTTGGGATAAGGGCATTCCAAAAGCCTGTGGGATGAACTCTGGAATCAAAAACCAAACATTCACTTTCAGAGAAAGACTGCACCAGGGGAGACTCTCAGTCATGTTGCAGATCAAAGGGCAGACAAATTCCAACGACTGCTTTCTGAAGAACTGATTCATCCATCAATATATGGAGATGACTGTTGAGTTTGTCAGAGTGGCTGAAGTTTCTATCTCAAGAAAGAAAGCTAGTATGTATAAAGAGCACGGGTTTTAAAAATCTAAGCCTCGAGTTTTTCTCGACGTATCTCAAGTATGTTTAAAGGAAATAACTTTACAGAGAAAGGTGACATTTTTTGACAGGATGAACATAATACTTCATCCTCATGAGTAAACAGTTTTACAAAATGTGTCTTTGATTGCTGTCTCAAGAGCCCCCAAAGCTTACAAGGCCTGAGAAGACTCTGTGTGTATACATTCATTCAACTGTCACTTACTAACACCTACTATGTGCCGTGTCACGGTATGCAGTGGGGAGTACAAAGCTTACAGAAGGTCCAGTCCTCGCTCTTGAAGGGTTCAGAGTGTGGGGTGAGGTGGGGACTGGAGAATCAGATACGTAAATAATTGTAATTGTGTCTATCATGTGTGTAAGAGAGAGATGCCAAAAATTACTGAAATTCAGGTAAGTGGCTACACTCTGAGGTTCCCAGTCAAAGAGGTTCCAACATGTGAAATGACAACTCAAGAGACAGAGGAGCAGCTTGGGAATAAGTTTGTTCTTTTTCTCTTTGTGTTCTTTGTTCCCGCATGCTGCCTCCAATTGCTGGGTTAGGGCTGTCACGTTCACGATGTATACCCAAGCCATTCTCCGGGCCACATGCAGAAGTGGATTCTCACCACTAAATATCCGGTGAAGAGCCCAGAATATAATTTACTAAATCCTCTAGTAAGGACAATTTTGGGGAAGGAGCATAATGTAGAAACCTACAGCTTTATTTGAAGATGTATACACAATTGCATTCTGGATCTCTGTAGTAAATCCACTTGTATACACGTACATTGTAAGCACGCTGACCCTTAGGGCCACGCATTTTATTGGTAATATTTTAAATTCATGCTGAAAAGCATTAATAATTATATTAAATGCATTATTTCTTTGAGACTCAAAATTACATCTCCTAGCAGCAGAAAACTGGAGTCTAGCCTCTCCCTTGTTTTTATAACCCTTATGAAAAAAACCAGAATGAGCAAAGGGAAAACAATTCTAAGGTTGAAAAAGCTAACATTAAATCAGGTGGAAAGAGGCTCTAAAAGGTTTTCCTCTTTGATCCACGGCAACATTCTGAACATCCCTGGGCTAATAGTCAAGTCTGCATTAAAAGCAGAAATGGCACTTGAGGGCTTCCCTGGTGGCGCAGTGGTTGGGAGTCCGCCTGCCGATGCAGGGGACAGGGGTTCGTGCCCCGGTCCGGGAGGATCCCACATGCCGCGGAGCGGCTGGGCCCGTGAGCCATGGCCGCTGAGCCTGCGCGTCCGGAGCCTGTGCTCCGCGACGGGAGAGGCCACAACAGGGAGAGGCCCGCGTACCGCAAGAAAAAAAAAAAAGAAAAAGAAAAAGAAATGGCACTTGAAAAGCCTGAACCTCTTGTTCTATCAAAACATGCAACTCATTTTGAAGTGAAAAATCAAAACTTCAGCATTTCGGGATTTTTCAGAGGATGCTTATCTTCCTCTATAAGTTTGTTAACTAGTCGGCATACGTTAATGCAAACAACAATTCAGGCATTTGTTTTGAGGGATCAATGTGGACAGTGTAGCAAGATCCAATACTCACTACTGATAAAAGGTCATTTCCACTACTAGCAAAATTAGAAACCAAAGGGGACACCTCAGGGTTTATTGTGTAAGTCAGTGCTATCTTGTCTATGGGAATAATCAAATAGTCTTCCTTCAAAAAGCTTGGGGCAAATCTAGGAACACGCGGATGGCAAGGCTGATAGCTACTCGGAATATACAAAAACTGTTGGTGGGTAATGATAGCAGAAAGGACACTGATAAATGTGTCAAGTGACCTGTGTCTGCTCAAGTAGGCATACTCACAGCAGGGATTTAATGTGACATGAGGACTATTGATTCCTCTCCTAGACATTTTTTCCACATAAAGGAAACCAACCAGACTCGGCTACAGATCTCTAATATCCTTGGAAAAAAGAAGCAAGATGGTTTCCTTTGGTATCTGTCATTGTTAATATCTAAAAGTCTGCCGCTCTACTTGTAAATTGGAGTAACTGAATAGAAATTAAACAGATGGAATACGTGAAGTCATTCTCCCCAAATGACTCTTTTATTTCTCTTTTCTTATTTCTGCTTTTCTCTAATAGGCTTTCTTTCCTGGCTGAGTTTATTTATTCTTTCAGTGGTAGTGTTTTGATCTAGTCTCTTTAGTTTCGCATTGCTGTCTCCAGAGAACTCTCTCACAAGCTTCAGAAAGGAGACAGATCTCCCTATGCTCTAAACTTGTGTCACAGTGTCTAGTCCCTGGAAAATTCTAGGCAGGGTTCCTTGAATGTGACTGCTTCTCAGAATACGGGTATTGTGAAATTGAGGACTCAGCCCAAGGCTGTTGAGCAAAACCCTCCTTTCTGTGTAAATAAAGTGTTGGGCACACATGCTTATCTGCGGGTTCAAAGCTCTTCTGCTGGGGAGGAGGGAACCTACAGACTCTGTGTTGACAGCAGCTAATAAACTCGATAGTGGGTTTTTCAAACCATAAAAATATTACCCAAGACTCAGTGTTCTGGGCCCAGGGACTGTGCGTATCATGTTCTAATCTATAGTATGTGTTTACTAAGGAGACTGCATCCCCTGCTGTCCTCATTGGTAGAGACTGTCTCCGCTCCCTCCCCATGACCCTCAGGGCCAGGAGGTGGTGTTCTGGTCGCTCAGCTGCGCTTCAGCTTCCGGATCCTCTCCCTCCTGCTGTGTGGCAGAAACCTGGTGCCACTGCCAGCTGCCCCTGCCCCCATGCTCATTGCTGTCTTCTATCATCACCGTCAGAACCCCGGTCTACCATCATCCCGGGAGACGTGGACGTCTACCCAAATGACCCATCTGATTCTCTGTCCTCACATCTCCTTGACTTTCTCCTCTCCTCTTACTTTTTCCTGCACGCTACCTTTTTCACCAACTCCCTCGGTCCCAACCTGGACCTATCCTCAGCAGAAGCGACTTGGCCCCTGGAATCAGGCTTCCTTCCTCCACCGTGGTCTCACCCTCCCACCCAAAGTTCATGCTTTACACTGCAGTGTGGCAATCCATTTAAAGACACCGTTCAGCCACCCCATCCTTAATTCACTTTGATGGCGTCTCAATGTTCTTAGCATGCAGACCGGAAGTCGTGCTGCGGCCCACCCAGTCCTGTGCGAGGTGGCCCCTCCTATTCCTCCCTGGAATCACACTCCCCCTGTTTCTCTCATCTCCAGTAACAGCACTCAATACATTTTCTTTGAGAATTTCTGAAGAGTGATAACTGATACTTGATGTTTCTACTGTTACTTAACATGGCACAAAATAAAGCTGTATCAGCTATTCCTACGCAGTGCCACTTCACAGCTCACATATATTAAGCCATTTGGACAGTGAGGAACAATAAAACGTGGCATGTGATATAATTTCGGCACAAAGAAAGGTGCTAGACCTGAACTATCAGCAGAGTTTATGTTGATAAACTTTTCATCATCTGAAAATATCCTGTAGACAGGGGACCTAGCTCTCAGACTTAGGCCACAGTGAAACCTATTTCCCCTGTGCTCTGATTAGGAACCACAACAATTGGCACAAAGTAGCCATTTTAAAACCTTTCCCCAAGAGTGATTCTTTTTGACACAAGAAAGAAATTTTCTGAAGTTCTGAAAGTTTAAAAAATACTTTTTGGATGCCAAGTAATTTAACTAAGAGAAATGAAGAACCTTGGAACTGTTCTGTATGAAAATATGTTTTCTGAACCAGCATCAATCCTGAATTACTTTCTGTATGGAAATCAAAAGTCATATGGGCACCGCTTAAGTGGCAGGAGGGACACAGAAGTGTCACATGTTCTGCTGTATATTATGTTAAGGCAATTAAATAAAACACAGGACATGATTCATTCTGATTGAATCAATTAATATAGCAGCATATCAAACATTTAATGAATCGCTTTATTGGGAGAGCAATTCGATGCTAAAAAGCTGCTCCTATTTATTTTTAGATGACCTAACCCAAGAAGTCATCTAGAATTTCCTGTTTTCCTTCTTTTACTCTTGGATTCAAATGATTGTCATTTTTCACACGTGCAGCTGTTATGAACCCCAATGCTAATATTCAAATGGAAGAAAACAATGTGAAATGCTCACAACTATGCGAGACCTGCACACTGCCTCATCACACCCCGGTTTCCAAGACATCCATGTAATGGATGTGTGGACACACAGGACTTTATGTTCAGAAAAGATGCCATGTAATTAAGCTTCACTTAAGCCTAGGACATCATCTTTTTTTTTTTTTTTTTTTTTTTTTTTTTTTGCAGTACGCGGGCCTCTCACTGTTGTGGCCTCTCCCAATGCGGAGCACAGGCTCAGCGGCCACGGCTCACGGGCCCAGCCGCTCCGCAGCATGTGGGATCTTCCCAGACCGGGGCACGAACCCGCGTCCCCTGCATCGGCAGGCGGACTCTCAACCACTGCGCCACCAGGGAAACCCCGGACATCATCTTTTTAACTATCAAAGCTATATTAAAAAAAAAAAAAAAAACCTCTTTGGCCATAAATCGTGATATTTTTCTCCTTAGTTGGATGGGTGATGTGTTTTTTCTTTGGAACCACCAGGACCTGCCTTCCTTTTCCCAGCCAGCACCCCTGTGCAACCTTATAGAACACTGCCAAGTTTTCACTGAGCCTATATAATACATAAGTATGATTTGGTCTAAAATGTATAATAGTCCAGTGCATAGTGGTTGATTACTTCCCCTGGCCCTTCCTGCCCTACCCTCACTGCCTGCTGTTTTCTTACATAAGCGAGCACACATACATCTCCCTCTGTTGAGGGAATTCAAACATCTGCGAAAAATGTTCATTGTGCTTAGTTTAGCCGGAATGGGCACTTCCGAAGAATCACCTCAAGTCTACACCGTGAGTGTTCAGATCCTAGTACCATTATCTTCATCCTAGAATAAACAACTTTAAAGATAACACATTGCTAATGTCAGTCTGAGTGATCCCTTTAATAACTCTATAAACACTGAGAATTCTCACGAATTCTCTAATCTCACGAGATAAAGATGGTGCGCGGCAGGAACAGAATGAGTAAAAACTCTAGTTTAATAAAGCTACGCTGGCTACTAACGTTCCTTTAAAAAATAAGGGTGAGAACACGTGAACCAATGAAATACAATACAATTCATCGGACAAGGATAGGTATAGCTGGACAAGAGTTACTGTCTTTCGCAGCAGATCCTCCTGTGGTAGAAGGTGCCCTGGGGACTATACTGCTTAGTATGGACCAGAGTTCTCGTCTTAGAAGGTGCACATTAGTAGTTCATAACATTACTCATGCTCAGCACCCCTACAGACCAACGGGATCGGCTTTTCTGGGGTGGGGGGTCTGGGCACTGGAATTTTTAAAGGTTTCAAAAATTATTCTGCTATATGTAGTCACGGGTAGGGATCACTGCCATTTTCATGGCCTTTTCTTCAGTTTGAGGTAAACATTTGAAATGTCTGGAGATATTTTGGTTGGGGGCGGTGCTACTGGCATCTAGTGGTAGAGACCAGGGATGCTATGAAACATCTCAGACAATGTACAGGACAGCCTCCACGAAAAATAATTATCCAGTCTAAAATGTCAATAGTCCGAAGGTTGAGAAATCATGCTCTAAGGGAAGTAAAACATTGGCTTTCCATTCTTTAGAATTCTTTAATCTCTTTTTAGTCCAAGAACCAGATGTCATGACCCTTTAGGCACAGTTCAAGATATGGGTGTAGAGTCTCGGATCAACGGTGTGTCTCGGTCTTGTCTAATACTTATCACAATGCATTTATTTTTATACCTTCAGTTTTATTGCCTTTCATTACTTTTCAAGCAGAAATTCGATCATTAGATAAAAGAACTCCAAGGTGAGATATATGGCTTTCCTGACTCTACACTCATTCCCTATGTCATATAAAATGGAAATACATTCATATGACCACATCATTCAGCAGTCATTTCATAAGAAACCATCGAAACAAGCCACAAAAAGATGTACTGGGCTAATGAGGCCCAGGTGTCCATTATTCAGGCTCAATGAATATTAGTTAAAAATGACCACAAATACCTCTGAAAGAGTGGCTAAACTATCGGTTTCCTAAATAGATACAGAAGGGGACAGTATGAAGAGAGTCAACAATTCCCAAAACTGTACACAGGGCAAAAAAATAAGCGTGCTGTGATCTAACATTACAATGCTGAGAATGTCCCATCTTCGGTAGCCACGAGGGTGAGACTGTTTCTTTCCAGTAGTCATGGTGGGGGAATCCAAACTCCTTCTCATTCAACTAGCCCTGCCTAACTATCTGGATTTGCCAGACAGCTGGTTAGCGTTAGAGATGCTACCCATGGCTGCTCAACCTGGTTTTCCTTACGCATTGCTGATTGGCTAGCATCGTAATTGGAACCATAAACTTGGCAGAAATCACATTTTGCTCAAACCAGTTGAACTCATCAGTTCAGTACAGGGCCACTCCAACAGCCTTCAATGACATTCCATTGTAGAAATCCAGTTTTCATAATAGAGCTGAACCACATAAATCAATGCAATTGACAAAGCCCACCAAATTCAACCATTAGGCTCCACGGGAGATGCATTTGCTTTAGTTCATTCTGTCCTTTACCTCTATCTTTGTTTTTCTCCTTCCCTAGTGAATCCAGTTTCTTTCTCAAAGATTTCTTTCGCTTTTGTCCATCTGTAAATATTAAAAGAATGAAAAGTTGTAAAAACAAGCATATAACTGACATTTTACATTAGGAATAACTACATTTGAGCAAAAGCATGACTTCTCACTTTACTCAGAATTTGGCATTTTAAACAGAGTAATGGCCCTGAAAACACATGAAAATCCTTGACTTGGACTGCACACACAACCAGAATCTTGGTGTATGCCCTTAAATTGTGTTTCAATCATGGGAAGTACAGGAAACTTACCTCCTTCAGAAGTCATTTAGTTTTGACACTCAGATATGTTTGCTTTTTCTGTTACATGAGTCTCTTCCTATTCTTCATGTTCACGCAAACCAATGTTATCTCGAATAAAATCTCCATGAGAGGGGAGCCAACAGTACATACGGCTTTGATAATCATGAGCTAGCAGAGTGTAACTGGATAAGGAAATGAATTCGGGGTCCATAGAACTCAAACCTAATTATTGCTGCACCATTTACTCATTATGTGACTTTGCACAAGTCTCAGGGTCCTCATCTGTAAAATGGGAATTTCGTGGAGTTGTTGCGAGAATTAAATAAAACAAGGCATATAAAGTGTTTAATGGGGAGCCTGACACATTCCATAAATTCAGATCTACTTTCTTTTGGGGGGTTTCATAGTATTCCATAGTATGCCTATACCATAATTTAATTAAGCATCCCCCCCACTGATGGACATTTGGGTTGTTTCTAATTTTTTACTAGAATAAGTAAGGCATTTATCCTCTTAGCATCTTGCACTTGCAACAAATGTACTTAACTGGTTAACTCACCAAATAATATAGATACCCCTCATATCAGTAGCCAGCTGCAAATGAATCCCTAGGATATCATCATAAAATATTGGCAGTCATCATTGCAAGAATGTGTTTTGGAATAATGCAGCTGTCAACTTAATGTGTGGGAAGTGCAAATCGGGAATCCACACTGCTACCAATCAGGAGAAATGCAGCCCATGCTGCAAGGAAACTTCTGTTTAAAAGGGGCATTAAGAATTGTCTTTTTTCATAAGATATACTTAAAAGTGTAGTAAAGAAAGAGATTCGGCCCGATAAAACTTAAAGGCAAGACTCTGATATCAGGAAAAGACAGACTAAGCATTCTTCAACAGAAATGAGGGTTCCTGGGATCCTCATGGGGCTGCGGATGTTCCCAACGCCTCCTCTCTGAATTTTTGGAGGCAAAAGACATCACAACATAAGCAACAGGCACACTCAATCCCTCCTTCCTTTCAAAAAGCAAAGCAATATTTTTAACGTGATTCTCGTCCCATGAAATGGAAATAGTTCATAAGAGTCTTCACTCTTGCAGTCGTGAGATCTGTATAGATGAAAATTATGTAAATCAGTTGTGATGTGGCAAAGAGCCGTCAATCTCTTACATCATGTGTATGTTCTTATCTTCAGTGTCTAAACGATGATCTCACCATAGGGCCTTACATGGCTTGTTACATACACACAGACATTAAACATACTAACTGCACAAGATTCTAATCTGTTCTTCAGATAGGACTGACAGGTATTTTACTTTGTAATACTTTGTTCATCACTAGTTCATATAAACAAATATATTTGACTATAACAAGAGCATATTTCTTTAAAAATGCTATCACTCCTTCATTTTAATATTTAGCTGACCCAGAAGAATAACTAAACCATATATTAAAGCTTAAGTGCGGGGCGGGGAGACCATCAAGACGGTGGAGGAGTAAGATGTGGAGCTCAGCTTCCTCCCCACAAATAAATCAGAACTACATCTACATGTGGAACAACTCCTACAGAACACCGACTGAACGCTGGCAGAAGACTTCAGACTTCCCAAAAGGCAAGAAACTCCCCATGTACCTGGCCGTGTGGCTGACAGGGTCTAGGGGCTCCAGGCGGGTGTCAGGCCTGAGCCTCTGAGGTGGGGGAGCCGAGTTCAGGACCGGTCTCAGCCACCAGAGACCTCCCAGCTCCACATAACATCAAATGGCGAAAGCTCTCCCAGAGATCTCCATCTCAATGCTAAGACCCAGCTCCACTCAACGACCAGCAAGCTCCAGTGCTGGACACCCCATGCCAAACAACTAGCAAGACAGGAACACAACCCCACCCATTAGCAGAGAGGCTGCCTAAAATCATAATAAGGTCACAGACACCTCAAAACACACCACTGGACACAGTCCTGCCCACCAGAAACCATAAAACAGGCACTACTCCCCTCCACCAGGAAGCCTACACAACCCACTGAACCAACCTTAGCCACTGTGGGGCAGACACCAAAAACAACGGGAACTATGAACCTGCAGCCTGTGAAAAGGAGACCCCAAACGCAATAAGTTAAGCAAAATGAGAAGACAGAGAAACACACAGCAGATGAAGGAGCAAGGTAAAAACCCATGAGACCAAACAAATGAAGAGGAAATAGGCAGTCTACCTGAAAAAGAATTCAGAGTAATGATTGTAAAGATGATCCAAAATCTTGGAAATAGAATGGAGAAAATACAAGAAACATTTAACAAGGACCTAGAAGAACTAAAGAGCCAACAAACAATGATGAACAACACAATAAATGAAATTTACAATTCTCTAGAAGGAATCAATAGCAGAATAACCGAGGCAGAAGAACGTATAAGAGACCTGGAAGATAAAACAGTGGAAATAACTACCACAGAGCAGAATAAAGAAAAAAGAATGAAAAGAACTGAGGACAGTCCCAGAGACCTCTGGGACAACATTAAACACACCAACATTCAAATCATAGGGGCCCCAGAAGAAGAAGAGAAAAAGAAAGGGACTGAGAAAATAGTTGAAGAGATTATAGTTGAAAACTTCCCTAAAATGGGAAAGGAAATAGTCAATCAAGCCCAGGAAGCACAGAGAGCCGCACAGAGGATAAATCCAAGGAGAAACATGCCAAGACACATATTAATCAAACTATCAGAAACTAAATACAAAGAAAAAAATATTACAAGAAGCAAGGGAAAAACAACAAATAACACACAAGGGAATCCCCATAAAGTTAACAGCTGATCTTTCAGCAGAAACTCTGCAAGCCAGAAGGGAATGGCAGGGCATATTTAAAGTGATGAAAGGGAAAAAACCTACAACCACGACTACTCTACCCAGCAAGGATCGCATTCAGATTCGGTGGAGAAATTAAAACCTTTACAGACAAGCAAAAGCTAAGAGAATTCAGCACCACTAAACCAGCTTTACAACAAATGCTAAAGGAACTTCTCTAGGCAGGAAACACAAGAGAAGGAAAAGACCTACAATAACAAACCCCAAACAATTAAGAAAATGGTAATAGGAACAAACATATCGATAATTACCTTAAATGTAAATGGACTAAATGCTCCAACCAAAAGACACAGACTGGCTGAACGGATACAAAAACAAGACCCGTATATACGCTGTCTATACAAGACCCACTTCAGACCTAGGAACACATACAGACTGAAAGTGAGGGGATGGAAAAAGATATTCCATGCAAATGGAAATCAAAAGAAAGCTGGAGTAGCAATTCTCATAAGAGACAAAATAGACTTTAAAGTAAAGACTAACACAAGAGACAAAGACGGACACCACATAATGATCAAGGGATCAATCCAAGAAGAAGATATAACAATTGTTAATATTTATGCACCCAACATAGGAGCACCTCAATACATAAGGCAAATGCTAACAGCCATAAAAGGGGAAACCGACAGTAACACAATCACAGTAGGGGACTTTAACACCCCACTTTCACCAATGGACAGGTCATCCAAAATGAAAATAAGGAAACACAAGCTTTAAATGATACATTAAACAAGATGAACTTAATTGATATTTATGGGACATTCCATCCAAAAACAACAGAATACACTTTCTTCTCAAGTGCTCATGGAACGTTCTCCAGGATAGATCATATCTCGGGTCACAAATCAAGCCTTGGTAAATTCAAGAAAATTGAAATAGTATCAAGTATCTTTTCCAACCACAAAGCTATGAGACTAGATATCAATTACAGGAAAAAAATCTGTAAAAAATACAAACACATGGAAGCTAAACAATACACTACCAAATAACCACGAGATCACTGAAGAAATGAACGAGGAAATAAAAAAATACCTAGAAACAAGTGACAATGAAAACACGACGACCCAAAGCCTATGGGTTGCAGCAAAAGTAGTTCTAAGAGGGAAGTTTATAGCAATACAATCCTACCTCAAGAAACAAGAAACATCTCAAATAAACAACCTAACCTTAGACCTAAAGCAATTAGAGAAAGAAGAACAAAAAACTCCCAAAGTTAGTGGAAGGAAAGAAATCATAAAGAGCAGATCAGAAATAAATGAAAAAGAAATGAAGGAAACAATAGCAAAGATCAATAAAACTAAAAGCTGGTTCTTTGAGAAGACAAACAAAATTGATAAACCATTAGCCAGACTCATCAAGAAAAAAAGGGAGAGGACTCAAATCAATAGAATTTGAAATGAAAAAGGAGAAGTAAGAACTGACACTGCAGAAATACAAAGGATCACAAGGGATTACTACAAGCAACTCTACGCCAATAAAATGGACAACCTGGAAGAAATGGACAAATTCTTATAAAAGCACAACCTTCCGAGACTGAACCAGGAAGAAATAGACAATATAAACAGACCAATCACAAGCACAGAAATTGAGACTGTGATTAAAAATCTTCCAACAAACAAAAGCCCAGGACCAAATGGCTTCACAGGCAAATTCTATCAAACATTTAGAGAAGAGCTAACACCCATCCTTCTCAAACTCTTCCAAAATATAGCAGAGGGAGCAACACTCCCCAACTCATTCTACGAGGCCACCATCACCCTGATACCAAAACCAGACACAGATGCCACAAAGAAAGAAAACTACAGGCCAATATCACTGATGAACATAGATGCAGAAATCCTCAACACAATACTAGCAAACAGAATCCAACAGCACATTAAAAGGATCATACACCATGATCAAGTGGGGTTTATCCCAGG